GCCATTTTCATGATATTGATTCTTCCTATCCATAAGCATGGAATGTTTTTTCATCTGCTTGTATCCTCTCGTATTTCATTGAGCAGTGGTTTGTAGTTCCCCTTGAAAATGTCCTTTACATCCTTTGATAGCTGTATTCTTAAGTATTTTATTCTCTTTGTAGCAACTGTGAATGGCAGTTTGTTCTTGATTTGGCTCTCTTTAAGTCTATTATTGGTGTATAGGAATGCTTGTGATTTTTGCACATTGATTTTGTATCCTGAGACTTTGCTGAAGTTGCTTATCAGCTCAAGGAGGCTTGGGCTGAGATGATGGGAACTTCTAAATACACAATCATGTCGTCTGCAAATAGAGACAATTTGACTTCCTCCTTTCCTAATTGAATACGCTTTATTTCTTTTTCTTGCCTGATTGCGCTGGCTAGAACTTCCAATATTATATTAAATATGAGTGGTGAGAGAGAGCATTCTTGTCTAGTGCTAGATTTAGAAGGGAATGCTTCCAGTTTTTGCCCATTCAGTATGATATTGGCTGTGGGTTTGTCGTAAATAGCTTTTATTATTTTGAGATACATTGTGTCGATACCTAGTTTATAGAGTTTTTAGGATAACGGTCAGTTGAATTTTGTCGAAGGCCTTCTCTGCATCTATTGAGATAATCACGTGGTTTTTGTCTTTGGTTCTGTTTACGTGCTGGATTACATTTATAGACTTGTGTATGTTGAACCAGCCTTGCATCTCCAGGATGAAGCCTACTTGATTGTGATGGATAAGCTTTTTGATGTACTGTTGCAATCGGTTTGTCAGTATTTTATTGAAGATTTTTGCATCTACGTTCATCATGGAGATTGGCCTGAAGTTTTCTTTTCTTGTTGAGTCTCTGCCAGGTTTTGGAATGAGGATGATGTTGGTCTCATAAAATGATTAGGGAAGGATTCCCTCTTTTTGTGTTGTTTGGAATAGTTTCAGAAGGAATAGGACCAGCTCCTCTTTGTATGTCTGGTAGAATTCAGCTGTGAACCCATCTGGACCTAGCTTTATTTTGGTGGGTAGGCTATTAATTACTGCCTCAACTTCAGCCCTTGTTATCGGTCTATTCAGAATTTCATCTTCTTATGGTTTAGGCTTGGGAAGGTGCAACTGTAAGTGTCCAGGAATTTATCCATTTCTTCCAGGTTTACTGGTTTATGTGAATAGAGTTGTTTGTAGTAATCTCTGATGGTAGTCTGCATTTCTGTAGAATCGGTGGTTACATACACTTTATCATTTTTTATTGCATCTTTTTGATGCTTCTCTCTTTTCTATTAATCTGGCTACTGCTCTATTTTGTTGACTTTTTCAAAAAACCAGCTCCTGGATTTATTAATTTTTTGAAGGGTTTTTTGTGTCTCTATCTCCTTCAGTTCTGCTCTGACCTTAGTTATTTTTTGTCTGCTGCTAGCTTCTGAGCTTATTTTGATCTTGCTCCTCTAGCTTTCAATTTTGATGATATGGTGTCAATTTTAGATCTTTCCTTGCTTCTCATGTGGGCATTTATTGCTGTAAATTTTTCTCTAGACACTGCTTTGTGTCCCAGATATTATGGTACGTTGTGTATTTGTTCTCATTATTTTGAAGAACATCTTTATTTCTGCCTTCATTTCATTGTTTATCCAGTCAACATTCAAGAGCCAGTTGTTCAGTTTTCATGAAGCTGTGTGGTTCTGAGTTAATTTTTAATCCCGAGTTCTAATTTGATTGCACTTTGCTTTGAGAGATGGTTTGTTATGATATCCATTCTTTTGCATTTGCTGAGGAATTATTTACTTCCAATTATGTGGTCTATTTTAGATTATGTGTGATGTGCTGCTGAGAAGAATGTATATTCTGTGGATTTGGGGTGGAGAGTTCTGTAAATGTCTATTAGGTTTGCTTGGACCTGATCTGAGTTCAAGTCTGGGATATCCTTGTTAATTTTGTCTCATTGATCTGTCTACTATTGACAGTGGAGTGTTAAAGTCTCCCACTATTATTGTGTGAG